CCTGCTTCATGCCCTGGAGGACAGGGCTGTGGCTCCCCACACCCTCTAGAAGATCATTACATGAAGGAACCTTTTAAAAACAATATGGTATCTGTTTTAGCTGTCACATCATGTTCTAGCTCAAGTTAGTAAGCCTTTAGTATAGAAGATGTGTTGAGGAAACTCAATGAGAAAAACCACTGCCTTGGAACATTTCTCAGAGATACTAGGTCTGCATTGGAGCGGAGGGTTGGGTCAACAAAGATAGAGAGGGTTTTGGATAAAGGTGCCTCTCTACCAACAGCTCCATTTGTGGCATTCAGAGGAAGCTAAGGGATATCCCCACTGTTTGACAGGAAGTTTCCCAAGATGGGATGCTTTTTTCTGTATGGTTTGACTTTTCTTATCACCATTATCTCTTCAAGTAGCTCAGAGAAAACAGGCAACAAATGCTTAGCCATCTTCTATTATTACGTCTGTGTTACTTAGATGTAACACATTATTATTTTCAGTGCTTCTGATATTTATTTAGACTCTCTCTTCAATTGATCTTTCTGAATTAAGTTCAAATAATTACTTCTTTCAAATCATCAATCTGTCTATTAGACCCCATTCCTAGAAGACTGCTCAAAGAAGTCCTACCATTAAGTAATGCTTCGATCTTAAATATGATCAATCTATCTCTATTAAAATGTTAGATACCACAGGCCTTTAAGGTGGCAGTAATTAAATCATTACTTAAAGAGCCATTACTTGGCCCAACAGTCTTGTCTAGTTACAAGACAATCTGAAACCTTCCTATATCTCAAAAATTCTTTAAAAAGTAGTTGCAAAACAGCTAACAGATTATCTGCAGAGGAATTGCTTATTTGAAGAGTTTCAGTCAGGCTTCAGAGCTCATCACAGCACAGAAACAGCTTTACTGAAGGTTACAAATGATCTTCTTATGGCCTCTGATAGTGGACTCATGTCTGTTCTTGTTCTGCATTTTACTAAAAAGATTTGAACCTACCTCAGGTATTAAATGTACTTTGCAGCAGTGGTTACTTCTATTTAATAGACTCCAGTTTATTTAAGTAAATGGGGAGTCTTCTTCACATACTAAGGTTAATTATACAGTCCAACAGACTTCATTGGTATGCAGATGATACCTTCTTTTATCTGCCAGATGACACACAGGAATGTCTTCAAGACATAAAGTCCTCGATAGCCTCTAATTTCCTGCTTCTAAATTCAGATAAAACTGAGGTTAATTTAGTCAGCCCTAAAAAGCTTAGAAATATAGTATCTAACCAGATACTGAGTGAATCAGGTGATCCTCCCGGGTTATGTTGCAATAGACCTAGATTGGCTTCCCAGTGTTTCTTCTTCACTATTTACTCTTTGTGTGTTTATACACCACTCTCCATTTGATTATTAGTTGTTATTAATGTCTGGCTCTCTTCTGCAGTATGCCTTTTATTGTGTCTTCCTCCTTCCTCTCGTCACCCCCTCCGTAAGCCTGGTTCTGCTGGAGGTTTCTTTGGTTAAAAAGGAAGTTTTTCCTTTTCATTATTGCCAAGTGCTTGTTCATCGGGGGTTGTCTGAATGTTGAGGTTTTCTCTGTATTATTGTGGGGTCTTTACCTTACAACATAATGCACATTGAGTTAACTGCTGTCGTGATTTGACACTACATAAATAAAACTGAGTTTAATCAAAGAATTACAAGCAGGGATTCAAAGAAATCATTATTATATACTCGCAACAAACAAGGTTACAAAAACAAAGAGGTGCACAGCCGGCTGAAACAACACCAAAACGATGCTTGTGCCAGTGGATGTGACATCTCCTTTGTTGTACATTGCCGTTTGCTAAGGTGAGAAAGCTAGCAAAATGGGCCACAAGAGTTTCGGCGGTTTGTTAACAAGTTACTGAAAATGTTGTTGCCAATTTTCAGATAATTAACTTCTCAGTGGGTTATGTTTTAGTGTTTGCTCATCTCTTATCTCCAGCATGAGTTGCTCAGGAGAAGAGGTTACCAATGTGGAATTGCCAATGAGAATAAGCGGAAGAGACAGATGGTTGGATGGATTGATGGCTCGATGGATGGTCCTAAAAACTTGGGTTTTAATATGATGTCACATTGCTAACAGGTGTTGCTCTACTGGAGAACACCAGAAAGGAGTACACAGATATTTCCAGATAACTAATTTAAGTTGAAACCAGCAATACACAGACACTGAAAAGCTCTAACGTATGGGGACCTATTCAACAACTTCAGTGTGAACCAACATAGTGTTTGTGTAATGAGTCAATGTGCGACCTTCACAATAACTGAAATCCTTGTGCTTTAATCCATCAATTAAATTTTTTATCATCCTCTGGGAAAATGAAGCTGGTCATGATGACCCAGCAGAATCACGTCACCATGGCAACAGTGGAGCAAAGTGTTGTCATAGTGATTAGAGCTAAACAGAAGTGTGTGTGGTGAGGATTAGATGGTTTTATTTTACTGATTCTTGTCTTTTCCTCACGTCCTCTACAGAGCTACCATAACACTTCCCTAGGCCACGCCCACTCAAGCACAACAGTGACGGCCATCTTGGTGACGTTGATGTTGGTGTGTGCACTGGCTGCACTCGGCTGCTATGTCTTCAAACACAAGACTGATGCCTTCCGCTTCCACTACTTCAGAGTGAGACACACACACACACTGCTCCTTGTTGTCCTGGTTACAGTATTTTTATTTTTTACATTTTTGCCTCATTAGCTGCATGCGATTCATAGATTATTTCCCCACCAGAATTACTTATAACTAAGTCCCTCTAGAGCTATGTCTTCCCACTTGATTTGGTAACACCTCTGGGCAGTTATTTTGAAGCTCCAGTTTAAATGAATGGGGAGTCAAAATAAATTTAACTGGGTCATGAAAACAATGCATGAATGGAAACTTAGTTAAGTTAAGTTAAATATGCTAAAAAAGCACTTACAAGGTTTTGATGAGCTAATAAAGTTTTTTTCCCTTCAAGACATACTTAAGCTGTGAATTGTTATTAGTTTTATCTTGGATTAATACTGAGTCATCTTTTCTCTGTCACAGAATGAGGATGAGGATGGTGCAACAGGAGGTAGGCCCAAACCCACACTGGTCTCCATCCCCAACCCTCTCTACGTCAGCTCTAGAGCCTTAGCTGAGCCATTTGAGGTAAGTCTTAGGTACTTTATCTTAAACAAAGATCCAACAAATTTCTGTGTTTCTGAGTGTTTCTCAGATAGCTGTGTGCACAGGTTTTGTTCTTAGAGCAGGCGACCCATATGCCAAGAGGCCCAAGTTCCAATCTGCATTCGGTCCATTTCCTGCAGGTCTTCCTCTTGGCCTTTTTTCCAGCTTTCTTGTCTGTTCTCTGCTGTCCTACGAAAATAAAGGCTACAAAAAAGCACCAAAAGAATCTAGAGTGACCCTGCATGACTTGGAGGTCAAAATAATTTATATCTGTCTTACACTGGTTCTTGGTGCAGCCCTCAGGTCATCCTCAGTTTGACTGTTTTAGCTCTTTCCCCTTTTTTTCAATATGACATCAGAAACCACAGAGAGATACAGAGACAAGACTAAAATTAACAGGACATAAGAGGAGAGTAACTGAGACAAGAAAGTTACAACAGGAGTTCCGGAATAATACATGAAATGTGAACCTAACAACCTAAAGATATTTAAACAGAACTTCAAAACTCGGACACCGCAGAACTCTAAGCAACAGACTCGGAACCATGACAGGACTAGCCCGCTGTATCATTTTTTCACACTGAATTTGGGGTGGCTTTGAATTTAGCCCTCTGTAGGTTGATCATTTTCATTTCCATCAAACAGTGTAGCATCTTTCTGTTCCTATCACATTACCCAGTCCATATATGTAGGTAACCATAGATAAAGATACATGATTTTATTCTTTTCATTGCGATCTGATGTGTTTTCAAAGTGTTCCTTTAGTTTTTCTGAGCACTGCGTTGTGGTGGACTGCGACTGCCATACGTTTGCAAATGGCTGGACGACATAGTTAAACAATGCTGCCCTCACTATTTGGCACCAAGATACAAATCTTTCATATTTTACAACACCAGTTAGCTGCTTGCAGCTCACTGATCTGGCGCTATTGTGCATTGCAGAAAATGAACGGTTGTCTCACTGAAATATAAAGCCTCATCCAGCAATAACCTGCAAAAAGGCTGCTAATGTTAGCCTCACACAGCAGACTAAGCTGGGACTGTGTGCATATGTTTATAAATTTGACTAATGTTTAAAATAATGATCTTAACGGTTTTCATATTTAAGCTTTTTCATTAGTTTATCGTCAAGTTTGACTGTTTAGTTCCTTAAGATTAGTCGACTAGTCTGCATTTTAGAAAATTTTGGGACCTTCAGTAGAATGAGGTTCATGAACACACACCGAATCTGAATGCATGACCGTTTACTCTCCCCCCCCCCCCGGATGGGTTTTCCCCATGTTTACACCGTTTCAGTTCACACAGGGAGTTTTCCACCATCCATCATGCCACACATACAGGTACAGCTGACATCCTAAGCAGACTCACAAATCCTCATATTAGACAGCCTTCTTCAACATCTCCCCTGTTTCCTGGGATGTGCAGCCTCTTGCCTGCCTCTTCTCAGAGATAAGAGGCCTGACTCCATGTGTCTGTGTGCACTTGAAGGAAAGGTGGGAGGTTTTAAACAAAATAAGTTTTAGGCCCTACAGCTGCAGCTGGCAGAGGAAGAGGAGGGTGATGGGAGATTTAATGTTGCACTCTATTACTGTAGCCTGTAGTAACACATAAATATACAGTGCCAGCTGGACAAAAGAGGAGCATCATGGAATTATATTTGTGTCAAAAGTGGCGCACGAGAGAAAATGATTTCACAAGAAATTAAATAATTTCATAGGCGCAGGTATTCATGGCCACTCACTCAATTAAATTCCTCACACGTAAATTCAACAACCTGCTCACATACACCCCGGTAACCAAACGCTCAAAGAAGTCAGATTTTAATCCAACATGCAATACCATCTAGAAATAATCTGACTGGCAGCAACTTTATTTTTTAAGCACAACAATGATCCCAAACACACTTAAAATGCAGTAAAAGCATACCTGGATTGAAAAAACACACAATGGAGCACTATCAGTCATGGATTGGACTCTCCAGAGCTCAGAGCTTAACACTATTAAAGCATAATGAGATCTTGACACAACAAAAGAACAAAAGGCAGCCAGCATCCACAGACGAACATCGGTGCAGACACACTGCTGTACCTCAGCATTCTGCTGCAGGGCTACTGCACATCTCTCAACCTCAAAGCTGCACAGCTTCTAATTTCTAGCACCACTGAGTAAAATAAACATCAGCTGCTCATCCGCTGTTACTAATTAATGATTAGTCTGTGTGTTACTTCATAGCAAGACTGTACTGATCTCAATCTTCATGTCCTCTCTGAGTTATTAAAACTGACAGTAAGGGTGAAAAGAAAGATTTTAATATCTAGATTATGATGTGCACTCCTTAGGGAAGCACTGAAGGCACACCCTTCATTATGCCATTACGCCCAAAGAAAAAAGAAGCACTGCTACCTGTTCACGGTAGAAACTCTCCATGGTGTCATGGGAAGGGATAGTGTTTATTGACAGTCCGAATGGCCCAGGGGACGGAGCTGTTTGTGAGTCTGGAGGTGTGGGATTGACTAGGGATGGGTATCGTTTAGGTTTTATCCGATACCAGTACCAAACCGGTACTTTTGAAATGGTGCCGGTGCTTAAAGAATGGAGAACACAAAATTGGTCCAAAAACCTCTCATGTTCAGCTGTTTTTTTGTAAAAAGATAACAATGTTGGCCTTTTCTGCAGCTATAGGGGATTTATGATATCACTCTTGGCTGGAAGCAGTGCTTAAACAATGGACAAAAAACACAAACTTTGTCCAAAAACCTCTCATGTTTAGCTGTTTTTCACTTTTTCTTTGGTCATTTTAGCCTTTTTGGCCAGGGTGAAGGGAGTATCTGCCATCAAACAAGAAGACAGCCGCATGTAACTACGACGGTGTTTGCTAGTTCACCTTACGTGCATTAATTTAATAACGTGGTTAGCCTACTCAACGTACATTACACACGAACAACATTAAGCTACTGACACAGAGAAGAACGGCTGTTGCTGCCATCATCATCCATCATCGTTTCTGCTACACTGGCAGAGCTAGGGGCCAGGACTCTACTCTTCGGGTTTTTGGGGGATGTTGCTAACTCCGGGTCATATAACAGGCAACCCACGCGCAGTAGATGTGCACGATGTGAGGTCTCGCAGCAAGCTATCAAATACGGCGCATTTCTCGGCTTTTAACAAAATGCTATACGTCGCCAGGTGTTTCATCAGATTCGAGGAGTTACCTCCTTTGAAGTACAGCCAGACTTTTGACCGCTTCACTTTGGGCATTTTTAATCTGTAGCTCTGCTCTAAAAGAACGTACGTACCTGGGCCCGCCTACTACACTCGCAAAGGTAAAATGATTGGCTGGAATCCAAAGTGCATGACATCTCAGGAAAAAAAAAAGCACCGAAATGTGCGCTGCTTTTTGGTCTGGTTACTACCGTTTATGTCAGAGCCGGTACCCATCCCTAGGACTGACCAGAGGTGCCAACCAGAGGGCAGCAGATCAAACAGGTGGTGAGCGGGGTGCAAGGGGTCACCTATGATGGCTCTGGTTTTCCTGAGACAGGAGGATCTGGCGATGGCAGAGGGCAGCCAATGATTTTTTTGGGTGGTGTTAGTTACACACTGCACAGCTGTCCTCTTCTCAGTAGTGGCTCCTGCATACTCAACACCAAGGCAGTAGGAGAGTATCCTCTCCACTGAGGAGCTGTAGAAGGCCACCAGCAGCTTCTGGTCAAGGTTATTCTTTAGGAAAAGGAGGAAGTGCAGCTGCCGTTGATCCTTTTTTACCAGGACATTGGTGTTGTGGGTCCAGGTGAAATTGGAAGAGGTGTGGGTGCCCAGAAACCTGAAGTTGGAGACAGATTCCACCCATTGTCCATTTTTAATGAGAGGGGAGTGGACCTGTCTGTGCCTCCTGAAGTCTATTATGAGTTCTTCTGTTTTAAGGACATTCAGCTTCAGGTTGTTTTCTGAGCAACAGTGGGACAAGTTCTCTACTTCCGCCCTGTATGCTGTCTCATCTCCATCAGAGATGAGTCTAACCACGGTGGTGCTGAGAACAAAGCCCTGTGGGGATCCGGTGCTGAGTGACAGTCAGGGGGGAGGTAGGTAGTCTTTGATCCAGGAGCAAGTGACGGGGGGTTCTGAAGGTGGTCCAGTTTGGTGGTGAGGATGTCTGAGATTATGGTGTTGATTGCTGAGCTGTAGTCCACAAAGAGCATCCTCATGTAGTTCTTCCTGTTCTCCAGATGGCTCAGCGCTCTGTGAAGGGTGATGGCATCCTCTGTGGACTGTGTGTGGGGGAGGGGTGGTCTGAAACCGAACAAAGAAGGCTTTGAGGTTAGCCCCTGACAGCAAGTTTGAACCTGCTGTCGGGGGTTGGAGGGTTCTGGCCTTTGTAGTTGGTGAGAGTTCTCCACATCTGGCGGGGGTTGTTATCAGTGAGGAAGCCTCCCCATCCTGTATGCCTCATTTGCCTGTTTGATGCCCCTCCTCAGGTTGGCTCTGGCAGTGTTGTACAGAGAACAGTCCCTCAGCCTGAAGGCAGAGTTATGAGTTCTGATCAGAGCCTGTACTTCACTTATCATCCAAAGTTTTCGGTTAGGAAAACCACGAATGGTTTTGGTTACTGTTACATTCTCTACACAGCACTTAATGTAGAAAAGGACTGACTGAGTGAAGGTCTCCAGATCCTGGTGTTTGATGTTTTACAACTCTGTCAGATCAAAACAGCCCTGTATTCAGAGAAGCTCATCATCTGGCCAGTTTTTAATGACCCGGGTGTTTGGAGTGAGCTGTTTCCTGAGGGGGGTGTGGGCAGGAATGAGGAGCAGAGAAGAGATGGTCAGATTGTCCTAGGTGGGGGAGGGGTGTTACCCTGTAGGCCTGTTTGATGTTGCTGTACACATGGTCCAGTGTCCTGATCCCCCTGGTACAGTTACAGTTAACATGTTGGAAGAATTTAGGGAATACAGACTTCAGAGATACCTTGTTAAAGTCCCAGCA